GGACTTATTGTATAGGCCTAGAGGTTTTTGAATCTTAGACGAGGTAGCTTCTTACGTCTCATTATTAAGTACAGTTGAAGCATGAAGTTAAAACGTCACTACTTGAGTTAAGCCTAATGGACTTATTGTATAGGCCTAGAGGTTTTTGAATCTTAGACGAGGTAGCTTCTTACGTCTCATTATTAAGTACAGTTGAAACATAAAGTTAAAACGTCACTACTTGAGTTAGGCCTAATGGACTATTTGTAAAGGCCTAAAGGTTTTGAATCTTAGACGAGCTAGTTTTTTATGTCTCATTATTAATATTAAGTAGAGTAAAGTGCCTTCTCAGGTTATTTTTTGGCCCTTAAAACTTACTACTTTTATGAAGAGGCTTCTCTCAGATTAAAATCGGAACTGCGAAAGTGTACTTAGAATAAATTGGCAATCTTTACCTAATTAATTAATTTTCCACCAGAGATCCGTAACCTTCTCTGCTGAAACCAAGATATTTAATAAGAATAATTAAATATTTTCAGTTTTTATATAATGACATAAGGTGGTTGTTAAGAACACTTTTCATACCTTATTTCTCTCAAAATGCATTGAATAAAAAAAAAATCAGTCCAACACTCCTACAAAATAAACAAAATTATTATTCGGAATACACAACAAAAGTAAAAACCAAAAACTATATGTATTTCCTGATTTTGTCTTAATAGAATATTCGGCTCTGTATGTGATAATAAAAGCATTATTTTTAGGTATACGGAAGTAACTTAGTTAAATTTTTAGGGATTTCTTATGTACTTCCTTGAGAATTAGTACGATATGTAACATTGATAGGCCTAACATGGACGATGATTTTCTATGAAACCTTGTCGTTTTTGTTGTTCTTTAACCATGATATTGATTCATTTCTACTTAGCCGGAAACTAAGAATAACTGTAGTGACTGGTGATCGTTTTGGTGCCGGTACGGACGCCAACGTTTGGGTAACAGTTTACGATCATCAAGGTAACGAGACAGCGAAGATAAAACTGGACAACTGGGGCAATGACCTGGAACAAGGTGCAACAGATGTTTACGAGGTAGCGGTGAGTCAGAGCTTCAGTCGCCCGGCAAAAATTAAACTGCGGCGAGACACATACGGCCTTGCCGATAGCTGGTTCTTAGACAGAATCGAAATTTGCGATTCAGACACCTCTAACGGAAGAGTTAGCTATTTTCCCGTACACAGATGGATAGCACCATTTACGAACCACCTGTTTTACGAGTTCGACAGCCACCTTCCACAAGATGACCCTAATAAGCAACGGCGTGATCTGGAGCTGGAAGAGAAGAGGAGAGACTATCAGATAGCAGTGCACGTCGAGGATGGACCTGCCCAAGTAAGTCCTTCAAATAATGACATTATCTTCTCTCTAATACGTTAAGCTACTAAGGATTTTTGACCAATGGATTTTCTTTCCCTCATTGCATCGTTCTTTTTATTCTAAGTTAAGTTAAAGTTCTATATCTACGGAACAATAGCACAGCGTGTGTGGATGTAGGCTCCAGCTAGATGTCTACAGAACAATAGTACAGCCTGTGTAAATGTAGGTTCCAGCTATATATCTACGGAACAATAGCACAGCGTGTGTGAATGTAGGCTCCAGCTAGATACTGTGACTATTGTTCTGTAGATATCTATCAGGAACTTACATTCACACAGGCTGTACTATTGTTCTTTAGACCTGTGTGGATGTTACTTCCAGATAGATGTCTACAGAACTATAGCACAGCCTGTGTGAATGTTAGTTCCAGCTAAATGTCTAAAGAACAATAGTACAGCCTGTGTGAATGTAAGTGCCTGATAGATATCTACAGAACAATAGCACAGCCTGTGTGGATGTAGGCTCCAGCTAGACGTCTACAGAACAATAACACAGCCTGTGTGAATGTTAGTTCCAAATAGATATCTACAGCCTATGTAAATGTATGACCACTAGTGTATCTGGTCTGGTTCTATTCATCTCAATCCACCATAACATCCCACAGCAGCTCTGTTGTTAACATTGTAATCTATACAGAATCACATTCCATACCATGGTAAACTATTGACCCAGCCTAACTGTTGGTGGAGTTGAATAAAACGTTAACTTTGAAAGGTGAAATAACTACGTTTGCGTTAGATTATGTAAGGCAAGCATAAAGAAGGTTATGCATCATCCGAAGCTATCTTGTTAATTTATAAAACCAATTTTCTTAATATCCAATTTGAACATTCTATGCAAAGTTATGAAACTGTAAATGTTGAAAATTAAAAAAAAAAATCCCTGTGCAACCTGTTTCAACCCACTATTAAGTGTATATAAATAACCTTGCTAAAGCAAGTCTGGCCAACCTTGAAGTGGGGGAGGAGCTTTGAAATGAACAATCCAAAGGTGATCAGTTCTTATAAGCGGAAAGAGTTTAGAATGGAACTTGAGAAAAGTCAAAGACAAAGATATATAGTTTTAAATACTTAAATTTGTGTTGTAGTATGTAGGCTTAGGATAAATATAGTTATTCGTATCTTGTAGCGATTATGTTAATTACGTAATGTATACTGAGTCAACGACCGTACCGAAGTAAACGATTGACCCAGTACAGCCTTGATAAAATGGAAATAAATAAGAAGCATGGCAGGTTAAATGTTTAGGCCTGTGCTGAAGCATATATATATATATACAGTATGTTTAGGATAGGGGCGCTGTATGTCCTAGATTTCTGGGTACAGTACCAGGAATAAGAACTTTATCGCCGATGAGAAAAGATCGTCCAGAAATACACTTAAATTATATTTTTTATACCTATTATGAAATATGTTGCAGATATATATATCTATATATATATATATATATATATACTAGATGTACTGACGCGGGTTTAAGATTAAATAAAACCAACCCAAATTAAGAGTAACAAATATTTTTACTTCTTGCTTTTGAAATTCGTATGTTATGTCGTAGACTACAGAGTGCATAATTCTTCTCGTCATTCATGGCATGCGCACGTTTTACTGACGTCACGAAGTTGCGAAGTTAAGCGTCCCTTATGTGACGTCATTTTAGTTCCTGCTGACTGACGGACAACACATTACTTTATATAGGTGAGAGTGGTTTATAACGGGTGACCCCCTCCAAGCGTCCTTCAGCCCCTTTTGGGGAAATTAGAAATACACGTCCTGCCAGTTAATATCATTATTATGAGGTATTTTATAGCATGGTTATGTGACCGCACTTATGCGCCACGATTTTGAATATGTCATAGAAAAATTCTTGTTTTTCTTTGTAGAAAAATAAAATCCTGAAACAGATACTCTCGTCAGAAAACGCAGCTGTCATTAATACAGCAAGATTCTCTAGTACTGTTTTAAAACAAGTTCCCTTGGTTTTAGTCTGCAAAATATAGACAGCTCAGTCCAGGAGGAAGAAAATTATCTAAATTTTGTACTGAATATCTCATTTATGTGATTTACACTGAATTAAGGACCATTGTTCAATACAATTAAATTTAGTGTTAAATAATATGATAACTTGAAAAGGTGGAATGCTTAGGTTTGTGATAAATTATATAATAAAGTTAATTATGCATAATACATTGTAATTATGTTGATTTATTAAATAAATTTTCGTAATATGTTTATTGATGATTGTATGAAAAACGGCAAAATACTCAGTGTCATACATTTTATTTAGAAATACATTTAAAAATATCGGGTGTAATACGTTGAAAGATAAAACCTCTACTCAAAAGATTAGGTTTTAGTGTTATGGCTCTTTCTATAAAATCTTCCAAATTACAACAAATTCTAGCAAATGTGATAAGTAGCGATAGATAAACATTACAGACTTTACAGATTTCTAAGTTGAGCTAGTCGACTATGACGGTAACGTAAAAAGACAAAACAATATATGTTTGTGGACTTACAACGCTAGTAACCGGGCTTCGATACCCATCATAGATAACCCTTTATGTTGCTTCGACTATAAACAAGCAAACAATACAATAATTACAACAGAACAACGAAATGAAAACCAACACCAATATTCACAACTTTTTTTTTGGACAGCAAACGATTTACTGAAAACTTGAAAAACTTTTTATCTAGATAATCAGGGGCGGATTTAAGCCTAAATGCCTAGTCAGCTAAGGATTTAAGCCTAAATGCATAGTTAGTTAAAAAAAATAAAATAATGGGGCCCTGTCAGCTGACTGTTAAAACCACCCCTGTCGATAATCTACCAATAATTTTATTTACTAAACTTTAAACTGTCGTTTTTTTCCTATTCACAACACATCATCTTTCACAAACTCTATCGCCAAAGAACTACTCTTCAAAATTACACAAATATTGACGCTGGAACTATTTTTGTAGTGGGTTTGTTTGTAAGTAAACACAAAGCTACACAATGGGCTATCTGTGCTCTAGCCACCCCGGGTATCAAAACCCAGTTTCTAGCGTTGTAAGTCCGCAAACATGCCGCTGTGTCACTGGTGGGGGGGGGGGGGGGCTTCTGTAGTGGGAATGCTGAAAAACCACTGAATAAAATCGAAGTTCCTACAGTCCAGATATTAACGTATCTAAACTATAGATTGCTACACAATTAATGACAGAAAAATGTGCGATAATATATGATACAAGTTAGCTCATCAATTAATTCGTCCAAGTAACACAGAAGTTGTTGTTGTAGCTGACAATTGACGATAATACACAAAACACGTTAAAGACATGTTAACAATTAATTCGTCAAAATATCAAAGATGCTGTTGTAGCTGACAATTTACGATAATGAATTATGTCAAGTATCCCTAGTTCCCGCGCCCTTGAACACAGAGACTGACCAGACACAGCAGTAAGTCAAAAACAATTAGCTGAACAGTGCTCTATCGTCTAACATGCACAAGATCCAGCTATTAAGTAAGATGGTAGGGACATTCGAATTCCAGCGTATTAAGTGAGATGCTAGGGACATTCGAATTCCAGCGTAATTAAGTAAGATGGTAGGGACATTCGAATTCCAGCGTATTAAGTGAGATGGTAGGGACATTCGAACAGCAACAACTAGAAAAAATGCAAATATAAAAAAAAATCTTGAGATAACGGTTGTACATGAGTAATAGTGAACTTTTAACTTAAAACAAAACTGAAGTCAGAGAAATATGAAAAAAACTTGACCCGCTTACTTCAAGTATTGATATCCGTGGTGAGTACAACACGGGTTGCCCATTGTATAACTTTGGGCTTAACAACAAAATAAGCAAATAATGTAAATATATATATATATATATATATATAGAGAGAGAGAGAGAAAAAGAATAATTGCATCATAATCTGCGGGTCGCGGGTTCGAATTCCCCGTCCCACCAAACATGCTCGCCATTTCAGCCGTGGGGGCGTTATAATGTGGCGGTCAATCCCACTATTCGTTGGTACAAGAGTAGCCCAAGAGTTGGTGGTGGGTGGTGATGACTAGCTGCCCTCCCTCTAGTCTTACACTGCTAAATTAGGGACGGCTAGCGTAGATAGCCCTCGTGTAGCTTTGCGCGAAATTCAAAAACAAAACATTACTATAGACATATTTTTAATTCTGATATTAAGTAGTTGTTTTGTTTTCACCCCTTTTATATTAAGACATATTTCAGAAACCACTCAATACAGACGCATTTTTATTATAAAATACAACATTCAAGTACTAACGTTCAAGCTAAAATAAGTTATATTTATATCAGTTGTGCTTTATTTAGTCACTCAATTAACAACGAAAGTTACTTCATCCTTTTGAGCAGAAATTTGAATATTCTACAGCTTGATGGAAAATGTACCTGCTCAATGAGTGAAAGTACCCTGGTGCTAAAATCAGGGGGTTCGATTCCCCTCGGTGGACACAGCAGATAGCCCGATGTGGCTTTGCTAAAAGAAAATACACAAGCACTGAGTGAAAAAAACAACACACAAACAAACTCCCTTACTTTGTAAATCCGTAAAAATAGTGTTGATTATCATGTACAATGGAATTATTTCTATTTTTTTTATTTTAAAATTAATTTCAGATTTATAATGCAAAATAAAGTATCCCTAAATAAGTATGTTAATGATACCTAGAAGATCTGGTAACAAACAAACTCTACTATATTATCAATAAGTGGGGGGCTAAAAGCACGTTTTTATTAATCATTTTTTTTTGAGAAAAGATAAAATAAATCATCAAAGTTAAAATAAAGAGTCAATATACCGAACTTATAATTATGAAATTGTAATTACGTATGCTGCGCTACAATAACGAACATTTATCCATATGCAAGTTATAAATAAAATATATAAAAATATGTATAGATTAATATTAACTTCTAATTAGAGCAAACTACCACCTACTTAGAGCAAAACTAAAGGTAAACCTAGTAATGACTATAGATAATTAGATATACTATGCTTTCGTTCTTACTTATAAAGATGAGTATGCATTGTCTCATCACTTGAGTACCTGTATCGTAAACGAGATATTCGGCCGTAAACCCAATAATATCTCACAAAGGTGGGTTTGCTTAAGAGAGTTATATTAATCCTAAATCCATATATTAAGATAACAATGCAAAATAATCTCCATGGTGAAAATATAATGATATAAATAATTAAATGTAATTTTATGGAAAACCGCAGCCACAAAACAAACATCCAATACCGGCACACAAATCATAAAGTGGGCCATTATGTAATTAGTCCTGGTTTTTTTGAGGTACCAGCAGAAGTAAAACCCAAATTGCGTTGAGGGTGTACCGTCTATCCAGTTTAATCTCAACTTTGCTAGCCTCACATGCTTAGAAGAAAACAAAAAAGGAGCAGATGTGGGTGCTCTAGCCGATAAAGTCCCACATTTTTACCACCTTTCACCGTATGTAACCAGATGTGGGAAGATGGTTGCTAACAAAACAACTAATAAGAAAGTAAAAGAAAACAATAGAAGATAATACCAAACATTAATGAGGGAGACAGCAAAGCTGTCCTTGAAGTTAGCATTCCAGCCCCCAATTTTTGATGCTTGGACATAAGTACCAGGATGTCAAGATATTACTATAATAAGCTCAACCTAAATTATTAGCGTAGCTCCCATTTCATTTAAGGTTTAAATATGCTGTGTAAAATTCCCGCTAATCTGTTATCTGTTATATAAAACATTTTGTAGCCTTCTTGAAAGAATGGAGTGTACGCTATTTACGGAACACCTTAACACTAGTATTTGCTTCATGTGCTGTTGTAGTTTTCTGAATTAAAGACACTTCTAGTTTGTATTTATGTTCAGTATTTTATAGAGTCTCTCATGTAGTTGGTAGCCATCAAGAGAGAGAATACATTGTCTCTTAAAAACTATGCATCTGCCCCCCCCCCAAAAAAAGAATCTGTAATCAATCTTTTATTCTTGTTAAATATCAGGCTTATACTATAAATAATCATCACTATGTTATAATGTTGAGTAAGATTAATGATAAATGAATACCAAGTACACTAAATAGCCAGTCAACAGTACTGTCTCATACATTCATTTAGTCACTCTGCTTAAGCTAATATCAAGGAGTTTCTGAAATACACATCCTGATTAACACAAATTTATCAATTTTAATGCTTTTACTTAATAAGTAATATGATATTTTAGGAAGAGGTGTCATTTTGCTACATATTATATAATATACTTCTAAACAGTGTTCTAAAACAGTAAACTGTATAAAATCCTTATTTCATAAAGAAAAGAAAACATATCTTGAATAAAACATTATGGTGAAAACAACCCCGAGTTTGACCAATGTTAATGAAAGAACAAAGATGAACCAGGATATGTTTTACAAAGAAACTAATAGATGTTTATATATGTGTGTGTGTAAAAGTTAAAAATGTAAACAGAGTCAGCTCTGTAAAGAAGAATTGTTTAGAACATATATATGTTTATATATGTGTAGTATGAAGGTACACAAGGTATTTTCTGCTCTATTTATTTAGAAACGTTCACTTGAAGATTTTGAAATTTTTAACGGATACAGGTGTATATAGTTTTAACTATAGAACGTTGGTCAAGGAAGTGGATACTTTACTTTCTTCCTAGTTAACTTTGGTACTGGCTATCACGTGCGCTTTCTCATAGGAAATATTAATGTCGCATTTTTTATATGAGAAATCCGAATAACTTAAATATCGAAACAATACATTTACTAAATGAAATAGTCTCCATTCTTATCGATGATGCTTTTCCATCTTACAATCAGGTTGTTAATGCCCTGATTAAAATAAATCACTTGGCTTTGAAGCAAAGAACATGTCGATGTCTTATTTAACACCTTCCACATTTACATACGTTTTTCCATTAAGATGGTGTTGTAGCGAAAGAAAAATATGGTAATCTAATACTGCCATATCTGGAGAATATGGTGCGTGGGGAAGAACCTCCTAACCCAACTCCATAATATTGTGTTGCGTCAAACGTGCCTCATGTGGACGTGCATTGTCGTGGAGAAGAACATCTTTCCGATTGACGAGTGAAGGGCGTTTCTGATGCAGGACTTGATTCAATCATTCCAGTTGCTGACTATAGATCTCTGCATTGAAAGCTCGCTGTGGATTGGGGAGCTCGAAATGAATTACTCCTTTGATGTCCCACCAAATGCAAAGCACCACTTTCTGCGGAGGCCCGGCATGGCCAGGTGGTTA